AGCAAGCATAATCGTCATAAACATAAAGGCTCTACAGGCCACCATATAGAGAAATAAAGGGCTGCCACTAAATACAAACGTTAGAGCTGCATATTGTTGGTGCTGTTTTCTAAACTTTTAACTAAAACAATTAATTACATTCTTTTGCCTTTTCTAAATTATACTAAATGCATCTCAATTAATTTTCTTTTGCAGGTAAAAAAATTAAATAGCATCATGTGTTAGTTTTTTGAATCTCATGCTAAAGCAGGAACAGTGTGTAAGTATTAAGAATGAATCAAATGAAACATACACACATATATCTGTAAGTAGAGAACTTTCATTAGGTTGTTTTCATTTTTATTCTGAATGAGTTAAGAGATATCACAAACATACAATATCACAAATGCATTATTGTCATAGACACAACAGCAATACAACAATAATAAAGGGTAATAAATAAATTATTACTATATCTAAATATCCTTTTTCTTCTGTAAGGTAAATATGAAATATTGCATATGGTTTTTGGTATTTTCAGTTCAAGCCACCAGTGAAGCTATGAACATATTTTCACATGTTTTTTCCAGATAGTCTTGATAGTTTAGTTCAAAAATGTCTGTTGTTTATGTCGTACACCCCAGAAAGGGGCCACTGGTGAAAGTAATGCTCTTGTGCAGGTTTAATGCAGTCACAGTCAGGCACACAGCATTTCCTCCATTCTGCAGGCTTGAATACAACAGTCTAGGGATGTCTTTTTAATGTTATTGCAAGTTGAACTTGGGTGGGGTGGAGGGAACATGGAATACCCCAAAAGTTTCTGAACTAACTGTTTTGAAGACTCTTCTCTTCACACTGAGCTGTAAAAAAAAGTCGCATTCAACTCTCTAGTGACTGAATGGTGGTTTTGACTTTCTTTAGAGAACTTAAAACTGCAAGAATAACCCCCAATTTTATACATTGTAAAATAATTAAAGTTACATCCAAGCACATAAAATCCCCTCAAATTTTTTTTGAGGCCCCCCGCCCCCACATATATGCATGTACAAATGTAAACACGTGTGTCACAGGTGCCTACGCAGAAAAACTTTGATTGCAATACACATGTTACATATCGCTGCACACACTGGAGTGAAAGAACTATTTCTAGCACCAGACCTCCTTCGTAAAGCTAAACTGATAACATATAGGGAGCAGAACGGACTGACCATTTGGAAACTCGGGCACTCGGGCCCAGGGTCAGTAGGGGGCCCCATGAGATGCCCCTGGTACCTTTTTCATAGCCTTTTTTTGAGTCTCGGCAAGGACATAGGGGCCCCATGATCCCCTATTGCCCGGGGGCCCCATGAGTTGTCAGTCCGCCCCTGATAGGGAGCTTTTAAAGAGTTACCAATGTAAAATATAGGGTACTAAAGTTTGTTGTCATTTCACGGGCGCACCCAAATTTAAGGTTTGACATGTTGGGTATCTCTTTATTCTGTACAACCTCATCTTTCATATTTTACCTAAAAAGTGGGTAATTGTATTCGTATGCCTTAAAATTAACTTTAGTGTATTTTTTACTGAAATTTTGTATTTCCTAGACCTTTGCAGTAATATTGTGTGACATAAAAAATTGCAACTACCACTTATTATAGGGTGTCTGCTTTCAGAAAATGTATCATGTTTTTGGGTTTATGCAATCTTCAGTCCTAAAATGATTTTTTAAAGTATGCAAAAAATGCAAAAAGAGCTCTGGCAGCAAAAAGGTTAATGAATGTTTATTTATAAAATAAAACAAACAAATATAGAAAAACATCAGCTTAAAAATGTATAAAACTTAAAAAATAAAATACTATTGACCAAAAAACTATTATTGTTGCCCCTTGAATAGGGGTATTAGTGTCAAGTATAGAATTTTGTAACAATCTCTATTTTTCCCATTCAATTTTCTTTTTTTGCAGTATTTCACCAAGGTGATATAGGTACTTCATGTACGTAATCTGGAAGGGATCAGTGAATGTCGTTACCCATGTCAGGGTGAGTTCAGCTTATTTTATATGCATTAAATTTTACCTATTTAACACTGAGACTAAAGCAGAATTTTATGTTAAACAGGAAGTTCCGCTTTTAAGAAGTCTCCCCTTCCTCTAACATTATTAGAGGTTTATGTTTTGGGGGGGGAGCGGGTATCTAGTTTTGCCACGGACACGTCACAAGTCCCAAAAGGCTGTAGGACCATTCACACAGCACAGTGCACCTTGTGCATGCATCGCGAGAATCTGGCTGTGAAGCTGCAAAGAGTCGCAGCCGAATTCCCATAGTAAACATGCCAGCACCGGGGACCCAAACACCAGCAAAGAACTGGCCCAGGTGAGGACGTCGCTGGATCCCTGGATAGGTAAATGTCCTTTTATTAAAAGTGAGCAGCTACAGTATTTGTAGTTGCTAACTTTTAATTTTTTCTCTAGCAAATGAAGATCCTCTTTAAGGCTGATTTATGATTGCTTGTTGTGAGTTACAGCAGACCATTCCCTTATATTATATGTTCTTATTCACCAGACTGTTGCGATTTAAAATCATGTGATTTGTGTGCAATTTCAGTGCGATTTCTGAAGACTTTCTTGCTAGTTCCTGTGTCACCTCCTCCCATGCTCGTCTCCAGGACTTCTTCTGAGCTTCTCCCATCCTATGGAACTCCCTACCCCAATCTGTCCGGCTGTCTCCTAATCTATCCACCTTTAGACAATCCCTGAAAACCTTTCTCTTTAAAGAAGTCTATCCTGCTTCTACCAAGTAAACCACCATTTATTTCCTCCACCAGCTCATCCCCCACAGCTATTACCTTTTGTTTCACTAAACCCTTCCTCCTAGATTGTAAGCTGTAATGAGCAGGGCCCTCTGTTTCCTCTTGTACCAAACTGTATTGTAACTGTAATGTCTACCTTCATTTTGTAAAGTGCTGCACAATCTGTTGGCGCAATATGAATCCTGTATAATATAATAATAATATTTGTGTAGATCTTCAACGATTTCTTGCAATTTGCAATGGGATTTTGATTATATTCTATGTATGTGAAATCGTGACAAAACTGCAGAAAAAGTAATGCAAAAACTACTTTAGAAATTGCGCTCCAGCAGCAAATCACACATGTTAAGACATTGACATTGACATTCATTGGATGCGATTTCAGGTGCAATTTCAATTCTCAAAGCGCACCTGAAATTGCACCAGTGTGACAGGGCACTTACTCAATTAACTAGCACCAAGAACAGTAAGGATTTAGTGCAGTTGATTTACTAAAAGAGTAGAGACTGGTTACTTAGCAAGGTAAATGTTAGTTACATAGTTTATTAGGAAAGTGAAGCTGTGTTCACTTTGATTGCCCAATCATGTGACATTAAATAAAAAAAAACCACGTTGCTTCACTTTAGTGACAAAGATAAGTGAACTTTCACTTTGCGTTGTAAAAATACATTTTTCAATGTGAAGTCTTCATTCCCCATATACAAATACACAGTAACCATCAGGAAGATGTTAATATTAAATGACTGCTATTCCATTTTTTGTTCTCTTTTACTTATCAAATGAGCCCATAAGTGATTATAAATTTGTGTAAATTAAACAGAAGTATTGCATTTTATACTTGTTTGGCAGTCGGAGGGCAAAACTGGTATTAAATCCAAAACCAAAAATGTAATACATTACAGCTTATTAATCATTAGATATGGTGGCTGAAATAGTTTTGTTTTATGCTTTTTCCCCTCTGTTTTCACCTGGTCATCTGGCCAGTAACACACCTCCTGTATTAGTGTGCCCCTCACACTGGATGAAGGAGCATGGGGGGCATCTTTGGACAGCAGCATTGTCAAGTCATGCCCCCTGTGTACCACAGTGTGTCTGTGCATGTGAAAAATGGTTAGCTAGGCTGAAGTTCCTCTTTTGGTTAAATGACCACTCACAATCTGAATATAAGCAGACATACATAAGTGTCCATGTCATTAAAAGTTACACTTCATACCATATGATAAGTTTGGTGAAAAAAAAAATGATTGAATAAAAAATTATTCCTACTGATGCCTCCTAAGTGACCTAAATCCTAGGCAAAGGTCACATTGTTTCTGGCTACCAGAAATATTGTAGATGCTTCAAGTCCCTACAGATTGCAGCTGTCTTTTGATTTCAATCAGACAAGCTATGTTTGTAACATGCAGGGAGATAAGAGGATTAGCAGGGCACAGCCATGGTACGGTACTAGGCAGTAAGCACAGCCTGCAATAAGTAAATATCTAAAATACATAAAAAAGACTATGATTCATTTTTAAAGTGACAGTAAACCCAAAACAAAAAAAAAATATTGCAGCTTACCAATCATTAGACGTGCTAGATGCATTAGTTTTCTTTGTTTAGGCTTTTTCCCTGTTTTCACCTGGTAATCCAACAAAGAACACACTTCCTGTTTTAGAGTGCCCCCACTCTGGATGAAGGAGCACAGGGGGCACCTTTGGGCAGCAGCATTGCCAGTCTAGGGTGGGATAGTGTTTGATGTACTAGCAGATTTAAATATACCAAAAAAATTGAAGCCAAACTCTGACAATACTTTATAAGCAGTTACAGCAACAGTGTTTTTTTCCTTTTGGGATAAAGGTTTTACTTAAATATTTAAAAGCCGATCATTACAAGCACCCTTGTCAGTGTTAAATGGTTTGTCTCACTCCTGTATCTGTTTGATTTTGGGTGCTTCAAACAAACAACACTGCTTAGGGAACATGAGAGTTGTTGACTGAAGTACTATGCAGAGGATATGTAAAGCTGCTGGGGATCCAGACTACTGCATTCTATGAAAGCAGTGGTTCGGCTCTCCATTGTACTGCAGGCACAGGGCCGAGTCCTACAGTCAAATCAAGAAGACATGCATAATAAGTATAAAAAAGTACAACTTCATCTAGTATGTGTTCTGCTTAGTCTCACATTTCTGGTTCTTGCTTAGGGTGTGGTCTCTACACTTCATGAAGGAGATGACTTTGGGGATCTAGCTCTAATGAATGATACTCGAAGAAGTGCTGCCATTGTTTCTCGAGAAGATAACTGTCACTTTCTGAGAGTGGACAAGCATGACTTCATTCGCATACTTCGGGTCAGTAAATATACTCTGTATGAAATGCATTTTATAGTACTATCAATCTATCTATCTATCTATCTCAGTGTTTGTGCACTATGGGCCAGGTCCCAAATTGGGTCATGGACATGTTTAGGGTGGGTCACTATTTGATTGTACGGGCAAGCAGATATACTGACAGGAAGATTCAATGAACTACCACAGCTCTCCACTTTGAGAACTACAAGCCGACAGCCACTAAGGCTGTCAGGACTTGTAGTTAATTTATTCACAGAACACTGTGAATGAATGATGCGACCATGTGGGCAGAGCCCCGCACGGCCACGCTGTTTTTAAAAAGTGACAGCTAGTATGTGGAACTTCTCCCCATACTTCTGTCACGGGGAGGGGATCGGACATCGGCTGCAGCATTGGGAACATGTTACATGTTGCACCCTAGAAACAGGTGGAACATGCAACATGTTCCCAAAGGTGAACTTATCCTTTAAAAAGTTTAAGAGCCCCTGATTTAAATCTTCCTAATATATATATACCTACAACCTATCTTTTAGGACGTTGAAGCTAACACCGTCCGTCTAAAGGAACATGGCAAGGTGGTATTGGTGCTGGAAAAAAATCCACAGTCAACTGGGAACAACTTACAAACGGCAGTACCCTGCAATCACAAGTGAGTACACCAGATGGCAATAGATTGGCTGAGACCATGCATGTAAAGCTATAGTTCATTTAACTTGCAAAGCAAAGTTCTCGCTAATTGGGAAGTTCCAATATTGAAGGGTTATGTTTTGGGGGGGGGGGGGTTGGCGGGTACCTAGTTTTGTTAATTACTTGCTCCCACTTCTGCTGGAATCGCTTAGGCAATTCCACCTAAAGTTTACTTCCCACCATGTCTGCAACCTTGGGGTGGCTGAGGGACCATTCAGACAGCACAGTGCGCCTTGTACGCTTGCAGTGGGAGGCTGGCTGTGAAGCTACAAGGAGTCACAGCCGTGGTCCCATACTAGACATCCCAGCACCGGAGACCCAAAGACTACTAGTGAAGAACCGGCTCAGGTGACAACACCACTGGATCCTTGGGCAGGTAAGTATCCTTTTATTAAAAGTCAGCAGCTACCGTATTTGTAGCTGATGAAATTTATTTTTTTCCCTAGAGATTAAAATAAATGCTTTAAAACAATAGTTATGGTTATTTTCAGGATATAGTTAGAAGAGTTAAAAAATATTCATAGGAGAATCATATATCTCATTATCCACCAGTTTTGTGCTAATGAATGTAAACACCCCAACATAAAGAAGTAATCAGCTTATTCCAGGGCCCGTGTTGATTTTAGTACAAATGATAAGAAGATCAAATGTAATATGAGAGAAAGTTAATGTTGTAAAATCTACTTATAACTGAATGGATAAGAGATGGATTAAGATTGTTTTATATCTGGAATAATAATCTGAGAATGTTGAGCAGTAAAATGTGATGATTTTTAAAATCCCATGCAAAAACTTTTACTGAAGATTTAACATACAAACCAATATATACTTCTCAAAAGATATTTTAATTATTGTGTGTTGGTATTGTGTGGTTATATTGATATGCAACCAATGATAAAAATGTACTGTAAAAATTATTTTATGAGGTCCTGTAAAGCAGAGCTCCACCCAAAAGGGGAAGTTTCGCTTTAAGCCTTTGTCCCCCGAGCCCCATTAAGGATTGGCACCTTTGGGGAGCGGGTACCCGAATTTGACAGGTTCCCACTTCCATTGTGATTGCTTAGGTGATCGAAAGTGGAAGTTGTCCTCCCCCCCTCCCTCCCCGTAGTCTTCTGGGACATGTGACAGGTCCCAGAAGACTACGGGGTCATTCACAAAGCGCAGTGCTTCTCACGCATGCACAGTGGGCACCCGGATGTGAAGCCGCAAGCTGTTACAGCCAGGTGCCCACACTGAAGATGCCGGTGCCAAGGAGAGAAAATGGCCGGTGAAACCGCTGGACCAAGGGACAGGTAATTGTCTGTATTTTAAAAGTCAGCAGCTACAGTTTTTTTAGGTGGAACTCCTCTTTAATAAGAACCTTTTGTATGTATTAAAGGATAAGTTCACCTTTTGACAAAAAATTATAAATGCACATTTATTTTGCAGATACAAAATGTGCATTTATTATTTTTTGTTTGCAGAAGCCTGTAAAGCATTGCACCAGCGATCAGCAGATCACTGGTGCCATTTAGGTCTCCTGCAGACCTATCAGTATATCTTCTTGCCTATACGAGATGTACGGGCAAGCAGATATTCTGGCAGGAAGAATCAGTGAACTACCATGGTGCTCCACAGCGCCATGGTAGTTCATTGAGAACTACAAGCTGACAGCCGCTAAGGCTGTTGAGACTTGTAGTTTTCTCATTCACAGAGGACTGTGCATAAGTGACGCAGCCAGGTGAGTGGAGCCACCTAAAAAAAAATTTTGACAGCTAGCGGGAGGGAGAAGATCCCCCGCTAACTGTCAAAGCAGAGCATCAGAGGGGAGCGGGGGCCGGTCCATTCATACAACTTATATGTGGTTGTAACATGCTATAAAAGGTGAAGTTATTCTTTAAATAGAGGCCTCTATTATCTATACAATAAAGCATATTTGAAGCCTCTGTATTTATTTCTGTATTACAGTCAGACTGCATATATAGTAATATACAGCATATGTTTGTATTTCTGTCTATTTTTACATGAAGTACTGCAACAAATATTAAAATACTCTGTGGTGGCACCACTGCTCTCACACACAAACACTGATTCAAGTTTCTAGCGGTCCGATGCTCTCCTTGCACACTGCTCCAGTCAGTAGCACTCAAGTTCCCTGAGCAGTTCTGTTGATTGGAGCAGTGTGCAGAGGGGAGTGTTGGATCACTGGAAACCTGAGGGAAATTTACAGTAATAAATACAGAGGCTCACCTGGGCTTAAATAGTTCTTCCTGACGGAAGTGCTGCAAAGCCAGGCTGGTTATCAAGAACCTTTCTGCCTAATGACAAAGTCTCTGGCCTTACATCAATGAATTTATTAGGGCACTTAACCTGTACATATACCACTACACAATTTGCAGAAATCCACAAAACGAAGTGAATAGATGTTCCATTATGTCAATTACTACGTTTGTTTAGTTCCTGTGTACCTCTTTTCAGTACTTACAAAAAGTCCCAAATAAACTTTGTAAAAAACTGGAAATAGAAATCCAGGCAAATGTAAATCCTTGATTCTTTGAGGTACGGACACAAGATGTTCAATGGCAGATGTCTGTGCTCTCTAATGAGAATGGTTGCCCTCTTTTTTTTCTGCTGTATAGCCACATGGGAGTGCTAAGAACAGCAGCCCTCACAGAGCATCATCCAGTAGCGGTCTGTGGCACTGTACTGCTGATGATGAAATTCATCATTAGCTTTTACTACTCAGTACTGGGCAAGGGCCGCTTTGTCTCCTAGTTTGTACAATTGAAAAGCAACATATTTTCTATTATACTATAGCAGAACACTCCGTTTCCAGTTTCTTTTTGTGATTCCTGAACTTTCTATTAGATTTCCCCGGTGAACTTTGATTTGGAACATCGATTTTCTGAATTACCACGCCTTAATTATCACTACTGTAAAAATCTGGAAAATCTTGGCAATAAACTGATTTAGCTATATCACTGTGCTCTTGCATTGTATACTATTGTGTTATTGTGTCATTGAGAACATCATACCTTCTAGGTACACAGTTATGTCTGGTACAGCTGATAAAATTCTGGAACATTTGCTGGAAACAATGAGGTTGGATTCAACACTCAACAATCCTGAAGGTAATAATCTCTATCTAGGTATAACATCTAATAAATAGGTTATATCTTTTATGAAATGTTGTGCTTAGAAAAATGCTGTTGATGACCTGTGCTTTTTAAAATACTAGTTGCCTGATTATCATGCTAATTCAATGGCTTTATTACGTTGCACTTCCTTAGTTGCTGACAAGTATGAACCAGGAGTTCTGAATTCGCTCTGAATTGTTCCAAGTCAGTGAATTGGAAAAATATGGAAGTTATTACATCAGCATGGCAGCTAGTGGATCTGACTGAAAATTTGCTATGTTAAGCCTTGTTTACACAGGTGTCAAGGGGTCTGTAAAAAATAGTCATTGAGGCGTCACTATCTATCAAACTTGTTCATTAAAGGAAATGGGACTGTGGCACTGTAACCCCATTCAAAATTACATTTCAGCAAAAAAAATAATTCTTCAGTAGGTGGCATTATTGCCGGGTAGACACTGACACACATGTAAACTTAGCCGAACAGGGAAGATCTGAAAACATAAGTTTGATAAAGCAGTACCCTTAAAAATGTACTTTTTGTCTTGAATTCCCCCTGAAAAATGTTGGTGAATCCCCTGTGCCTTGAGCCTCATAGCTGTATATTTGTCGTGTGAGATCACATAAGGCACTGCTGCTCCTAAATCCTAGTCTCAGGAGATTTAGAGTGAGATTTGGTGATGTCACCACTGTACTTCTCACTGTTCTCCTTGCCAGAGAGGAAGCCTTACCTGAGAACCTGCAGTGCAAGGATCTCTCTGCTTCAGCTTGAGTCATTCTGTAAGTCTGTGCTTCCTCCGCCTCTCCTGTACAGACCTGCATCTCTCAAATACAGGTTGTCTGAGAACTGTGGAATCTATTCAGATATGAATGCTCAATAGAAGGTTTTCTATATTACACAACTGGTTTTATAATATTGACAGGATTTCTTTTTTTGTAATAACATTCTGTATTTTCTTTCAGACTCTTTTGCTGGTGATTTCCTCTTGACTCACAGTGTATTCATGCCAACTGCTCAGTTTTGCCAAGCACTGCTCCATCAGTATCCTAGCAAACTATGCAAATAAGCTGCTTATTGCAAACAATCAGATTCCTTTTTAACTTTATGTATGACTGGAAGATGTGACCTTAAAGTAGAACTAAACTCCCAAAGAAAACTATATTATATATTATTTAGCGGTAGGTTGTGTTTAAATAGGCAAGGGGCAACCATCTTTCAGCGCTAAACAAGATGAAAATTCATAAACAATGCAATGTCCCTTTGTAGTTCAACATGAAATGAGTATTTTGGAGGCCTTGCTCTGAGCTCCATTGAGGCATAGACAGAAAAATTCAGCCATGGAGGACCAGGAAGTGCTTGAATACCTGCAATGAAAGATTAATTTCCAGGGACCTTGTGCAAATGTAGGATAAAACATTTTACAAAACATAATAACATTCTGAGCTGCAAAACATTTTTTTGGTAAGAAAGTTTAGATACACTTATGGCTCTTAGGGCAGCAACTCCACATTACACTAGCTTTCAAAAATCAACTCCAAGCATAGGACCTAAAGCTAATGTCTAATAAAAACTCAAAAAATCAAATGTCTGGTTTCATGTAATGGCTTATAAGTGGGCTGACCTGATAAACTTGTCTTTGCCTAAAGCCAAAAACATAAGGCTTGAATTACCCTGTTATCCTCTGCCAACTGGTGGAGTGGATTGTTGCCTGTAAGCCATTTTTAATGTTGCCCACAATGCTCCCCCTTTGCTGCCTATGTAAAGTAACTCAACTTGGCTTTCTTCTTTGAACTGCAGATTCCGATGCTGATACAGAGTTACATATTATTTAGCAAAAAGTACAAATAACAAACCAAACTGATATAATACATTTTATTTCAAGAAGGCAGGTCACATATATTTTTTTATTATTTTAAAATTGACAATTAGTGGCAATAAACGTTAAGTACTGTAAATAGAATAATCCAGCAGTCACTAAAATAAGCATTTTTGAAATCATCTGTTTTTCCCAGTCTGTTTCAGGAGTGTAAAGACCTCTTACTATAATTTGGTTATGTTCAGTCTTGCCTGGCTCTCAACACTTTTCTTTTTCCTCAAACTGTAATGAACCCAGATGACAGGTACTGCCTGAGTGACCACTTAAAAATAGTCAGGTAAAATATCTCACAAAGAATGGGTTGAACTTTTAAAATTCAAGGAAAGAGGTGTTCCTAATTTTTCCTAATTAAAAAAAAAGAAGAAAATCTTTGATTCCACCCTTCAACGTTTTTAACGCCACAAATGTTTGTCCTTTTATGATGACTTACCTTAACAAAACTTCAGATTCAATGTGGAGCCATCAGAAGTGAATGAACCTGAAAAGGCCACATACTCCTTTCACAAGAGGCAGAACATTGTACGACTCGTCAACCTCTGGGTAGAGCTTTATGGCCAGTTGCTGGAGGCTGAGCCATGTGCTAAAAGCTTTCTGGAGGTGAGTAACTTTAGTATGGGGTATTTCTGTTTGTGTCCCTTTATTCATGAGCATGTCTGGGCACATTTGTAGAGGTACTATTTCTAATGTATTTTCCAGGCTAAACAGATGTATTATTGATTATACTCAGGAAGGTCTTGTAGGAGACTACACTAGTAAAGTTTCAATCAACATTTTTTGTTGTAGGAACGTTTGTTTTTCTAATCATTACTAGGGGTCAAATCAATATTCAACTGCAGAGACAAGAACATTTAAGGAGCAGGATGAACATTTTTTTATTGAATGTACATATTTCTAAGTTTATGTGGTTTTCATTTGGTAAAGTCCATTCATTCCAAAATCGAATGTGAAAAGCAGATGAAATCTTGAACTACTTCCAAATGACATTTGAATGTACTGAGACTGTTTATACAAATTTTCCTCAAATTTTTTTATTTGAATCTTGTTCCAAATTCCACTAGTATATACCCAGTTAAAGTTTTACAGATGAAAATACCTGTGTCTGTGTTAAACTGGGATAGGAGCCCTATATATAAAATACAGTAGTTAAATCTACACTGTAGCATCTTCTAGCCTTACATAATAGTTTTGTTTTTTTCCTTATAGTGAAAACTGCAATCATGTGCTGTATCCGTAAGCAACTATTTAGTTTAATGTATTGTAGTCAGAACACTGAAAGCTCATCTGTGATTGGTTGCAGCACATTACTGCTGATCTTTATCCTTTGCTCTATACTATTTGGTAATTATTGTTATATTGTAATCAAATCCAATCTCATTCAATTTAACAGAAACTCTCAGAATACATCAGTAGAGACCCTCGTTTACTTGCATGTTTGAAAGAAAATCTGCAGGAGAGAAGGAAAAACAAAACGTAAGTATTTTTTACTTCAAGAGAAATTTTAGTCAGATAATTAAGTCTTGGTTGATTACTTCATGTTGGCACTTTCTACAGGTATACCTATGTAAAATATTAAAAATAAGTGTGTATACTATTTAAAATCCAGTAAAGCACTGTCTCACCCCTGCTCTACACATACTCAGTTGTCTTGCATTCTCAGCACCATGCCTAAAATCAGAGCAGTGACGTAGTCTCACTAGAGGCTGATCTGATGACAGCTTTAAGATGAGAGGGGAAGCTAATTGTTAGCAAAGTGTTATGAGTAAAGTCCTGCTTTAACCAAATGACAACTCTACTGTATATTTCTTCAAACATATGAAAGAAAACCAAGCATTTGTATTTCCTAGACCATACACTCACCAGCCACTTTATTAGGTACACCTTGCTAGTTCCAAGAAAATATCCCCCACACCATTACACCACCACCAGCCTGAACCGTTGGTACAAGGCAGGATGGATCCTTGCTTTCATGTTGTTTACACCAAATTCTGACTCTACCATCTGAATGTCGTGGCAGAACCTGTCTGACCATGCTCCTCTATTCTGACATCAACAAGGCATTTTCATCCACATAACTGCCACTCACTGGATATTTTCTCTTTTTTGGACCATTCTCTGTAAACCCTAGAGATGGCTGTGCGAGAACATCCCAGTAGATCAGCAGTTTTTTAATACTCAGACCAGCCCGTCTGGCACCAACTGCCATACTAAGTTCAAAGTCACTTAAATTCTCTTTCTTCCCCATTCTGATGCTCATTTTGAACTTTAGCAAGTCGTCTTCACCACATCCACATGCCGAAATGCATGAGTTGCTGCCATGTGATTGGCTGATTAGAAATTTGTGTTATCAAGCAATTGAACAGGTGTAACTAATAAAGAGGCCGGTGAGTGTATATTGGTTTAGCATTGTTACCCTGGGCAGCCACATGATCTGAAATGTATACATTTTATTTACTTTTTGTTTACATTGGTATGTTCTGATGCCTTTTTAATTAAATAAAAATGAATGTACAGTGGAAAGATCCTTGTTTTTAATGGAGGTCGTAAATGACAATATTGTGATTTGTAGCACACTGGGAAATGTTTGTATGCTGTATTTTTGGTGCTTGACCTATACCACACCATTCTAATGGGATCTTTCAAAAACACAGTGCGCCTAATGCTGGCCATATACATTTCCATAAATGATTGCTTTCTTTTCTGATTGATCTCCTACAATAGGACTATTCAACCTATAGTTGGCAATTCATTCGAATCATATGCCACACATGGGGAATTGGATTTTGATTGATAGTTAATATATGATTATGACTTATGATCGTAAATGGATTGCATCTCCGTGTCTGCCATATAATCTCATAATCTGATTAATCGAAATCCAATTGTATTCATAAACAAGATATTTCAGTGCTGCCTATTGATGGAAAACTTTTAATAACATTCTGCTCTGGCTGATCGACTCAGTTTGATTGAGTCCAATCTAAATCGAGTCTAAATGGATTGAAAGGGAAATTTTAACTGTTGTATTGCTGACAGATTTAGTAATTATGATCAAATCAAACATTGATCTGCTAAAAAAAATCAAAGTGTGTATGGCCACCATAAGATAATTGCTGTGAGCGACTCATAAGTATATCTGTTTCCCATACAGTAATAATTACAACTGATCACTGTATAATCTTCTTTAGGCAACTTTAAAGCAATAGTAAAGTATTTTCAAAAAACAAAACCAGTGCCTGCAAGTTAATGTCATAATGTGCTAGTATGCATCCGACTCTGTGGGTTCTGGTCAATTGAATGGCCGAGCCATGATAACATCACTTCTGCGTATGTGCATGAGAGGAACGGCCGGGGGCACAACGCTCTGAACGGACAGCATACTCAGTATGCTGTCTCTTCAGAGTGCAGTGCGAATAAACTCTTGATGTCACTGGCTTCAGAATTAGTAAATATCTCCTAAATGGTACACAGTTAGGAGATAATCTTTGTACCTACAGGTAAGCTTTATTATAAGCTTTCCTGTAGGTAAAAGCCAGCAAGTGGTGTTTACTACTGCTTTAAAGGATAAGTTCACCTTCGGTAACATATTATATATTCCACCCGTTTTCAGGGTGGAACATATAACATGTTCCTGCTCCTGCAGTGGCTCAGCAATTTGAGCCCTGTGTGTGTCAGCAGTACCGGGAGATGTTTCCAGTACCAGCTGTCACTTTTTGAAAAGAGACATGATGTTCGGGGCTTCGCCCACATGGCTATCTTATTCATTCACAGAGTTCTGTGAATTAATCAACTACAAGTATCTACATTCTTTGAGGCTGTTGGCTTGTAGTTCTCCTCTGTTGAGTTCTCTGTAGTTCAATGATTCTTCCTGTCAGTGTGAAACTGTACTGGCAGATAGCTTACACTGACCGATTGTAGGAGTCCTGCATGGCACCAGCAATTTGCTGATCGCAGGTGCAATGCTTTGCAGACTCCTAAAAAGAAAAAAAAATAGTGAATGAGCATTTTTTGACCTGCAAAAAACTGTGCATTTATTATTATATTTTAAAGGTGAACTTATCCTTCCAGCCATTTTTATGTTTATTAAAAGTCAGCAGCTACAAAAACACACAGATACCTGTCCCAGTATCCAGCGATGTTCTCACCTGCACTCTCCCCTCTCCCCCTTCTCTCCTCCATGGCGCCAGCATGTTAGCTGTAGGCACCAGGCTGTGACAGCTTGCAGCTTCACAGCCTGGTGCCCACTGCACATGTGCGAGTCGTGCTGCGCCTCCTAATTGGTCTGGCAGTCTCTTGGGACCTGTGAAAGTTCCCAGGAGACTGCAGGAGGGAGGAGGGAGCTGAACTTCTGACTCACTTTTCCACTCCCCCCTTCCCCCAAAAGGTGCCAAATATGGAACTCCACTTTAAGGGCTTTGTTATATGAATTGTTTCTCATTCAAATGTAAAACTCAGCAGGAGCTGCAACACCCAGTGGATCTCAAGAGGACCTGCTGAATTCAAAAAGCAGGTCAAATGTAGCCTCAAAATGGTCACTACTCAACTAAAGTAAAAAAAACCAGACTTTCATTATAAGTAGAGATGAGCGAATTTCTCAAAAATTCGATTCGGCTGATTCGGCGAATTCCAGTATGAAATTCGGTTCGATGCGAATTAATTCGCTACGAATTTAACTTATTAAAAGGGTTTCTAGGCTTCAGAGAGCCTTTACATTAGTGCAGAACACTGTACCTTTAATTTAAATGCCCTTGGAGATGAAAACAAATGGAAACAAATAGATACAATGTTTCAACCGCTGTATGGAGTGAGTGTCCCAGAACTGTCAGAAATAGTCTATTTCTGACAGTTCTATGACATTCCCTCCATACAGCGGTTTCAACCGCTGTATGGAGTGAATGTCCCAGAACTGTCATAAATAGTCTATTTCTGACAGTTATGGGACATTCACTCCATACAGCGGTTTCAACCGCTGTATGGAGGGAATGTCATAGAACTCTCAGAAATAGACTATTTCTAACAGTTCTGGGACATTCCTTCCATACAGCGGTTGAAACATTGTATCTATTTGTTTCCATAAATGCATCCATTTATGGAAACAAATAGATACAATGTTTCAACCGCTGTATGGAAGGAATGTCCCAGAACTGTCAGAAATAGTCTATTTCTGACAGTTCTGGGACATTCCCTCCATACAGCGGTTTCCGGCAAAAAGTGTATGTGCAGAGTTCCTCTATTCTGCAGATACACTTAGAGGAGCTCTGCAGATACACTTAGAGGAGCTCTGCACATACACTTAGAGGAACTCTGCACATACACTTTTTGCCGGCTTGGAATTATTCCATCCTACTTCTTCTTCTTCTTTCTTCTTCTTCTTCATCCTCATCCTCATCCTCTTCTTCTTCTTCTGAGGATGAGGATGAAGAAGAAGAAGAAGAAGAAGTAGGATGAAAATAAGATTAATTCCAAGCCGGCAAAAAGTGTATGTGCAGAGTTCCTCTAAGTGTATGTGCAGAGCTCCTCTAAGTGTATCTGCAGAGCTCCTCTAAGTGTATCTGCAGAATAGAGGAGCTCTGCACATACACTTTTTGCCGGCTTGGAATTATTCTTATTTTCATCCTACTTCTTCTTCTTCTTTTTCATCCTCATCCTCTTCTTCTTCTTCTGAGGATGAGGATGAGGATGAAGAAGAAGAAGAAGAAGAAGAGAAGTAGGATGAAAATAAGATTAATTCCAAGCCGGCAAAAAGTGTATGTGCAGAGCTCCTCTAAGTGTATGTGCAGAGCTCCTCTAAGTGTATCTGCAGAATAGAGGAACTCTGCACATACACTTTTTGCCGGCTTGGAATTATATCTTATTTTCATCCTACTTCTTCTTCTTCTTCTTCTTCATCCTCATCCTCTTCTTCTTCTGAGGATGAGGATGAAGAAGAAGAAGAAGTAGGATGAAAATAAGATTAATTCCAAGCCGGCAAAAAGTGTATGTGCAGAGCTCCTCTAAGTGTATGTGCAGAGCTCCTCTAAGTGTATCTGCAGAATAGAGGAACTCTGCACATACACTTTTCGCCGGCTTGGAATTATTCTTATTTTCATCCTACTTCTTCTTCTTCTTCTTCATCATCCTCATCCTCTTCTTCTTCTTCTGAGGATGAGGATGAGGATGAAGAAGAAGAAGAAGAAGTAGGATGAAAATAAGATTAATTCCAAGCCGGCAAAAAGTGTATGTGCAGAGCTCCTCTAAGTGTATCTGCAGAGCTCCTCTAAGTGTATCTGCAGAATAGAGGAACTCTGCACATACACTTTTTGCCGGCTTGGAATTATTCTTCATCCTCATCCTCTTCTTCTTCTTCTGAGGATGAGGATGAGGATGAAGAAGAAGAAGAAGAAGTAGGATGAAAATAAGATTAATTCCAAGCCGGCAAAAAGTGTATGTGCAGAGCTCCTCTAAGTGTATCTGCAGAATAGAGGAACTCTGCACATACACTTTTTGCCGGCTTGGAATTATTCTTATTTTCATCCTACTTCTTCTTCTTCTTCTTCATCCTCATCCTCTTCTTCTTCTTCTGAGGATGAGGATGAGGATGAAGAAGAAGAAGAAGAAGTAGGATGAAAATAAGATTAATTCCAAGCCGGCAAAAAGTGTATGTGCAGAGCTCCTCTAAGTGTATCTGAAGAATAGAGGAACTCTGCACATACACTTTTTGCCGGCTTGGAATTATTCTTATTTTCATCCTACTTCTTCTTCTTCATCCTCATCCTCTTCTTCTTCTTCTGAGGATGAGGATGAGGATGAAGAAGAAGAAGAAGAAGAAGTAGGATGAAAATAAGATTAATTCCAAGCCGGCAAAAAGTGTATGTGCAGAGTTCCTCTATTTCTGACAGTTCTCTGACAGCTTCTTCACATGTACAGCGGTTGAAACATCTGTATCCTAAATGGAAACTAATAGATACAATGTTACAACCGCTAAACATGTGTTCCTTCTGTCAGAGAACTGTCAGAAATAGCGGAGCTCACTGCAGGGACACTTTTTCCGGCTGATCGGGAAATATTCGATTCGCGCACCCGAAGTAGGCAAAATTTCGGATTCGACGCGAATCGAATATTTCCTGAAATTCGACTCGAATTCCGGTTCGCCTGGTTCGATTCGCTCATCTCTAATTATAAGTTTACTTCAAATGCATGTAAAACAAAGACAATCAAAGTCTGTCTATATTTTTATGTTCATTACTAAGCCAGATGTGTAACCTATCATGATATTACAAGGAATATTAGATAAAATAGGATTGAAAAAAACATACAAGTTATATGACCAAGGTCTGTGCCATCTTTTCCATCACCTTTATGACCGCTCAGGATTTGGTCACTTTTTGGAGATCCAGTTTGAAAATGGTGTTGTACATGTTGCCATTCTTATTTAATCTAAGAACTTGTGTTTTTCTCTAATCTAATTCCAGACTGGAGATCAGCAATGGAAACGTCTCTCCACAAATAAAGGTATATAAATATGAATACCCAAAGCCTGTGTCAGTAGATATCAACAGTTGACTCTAATTGTAGGCATTTAGACATGGTACACATGAGTAAACATGGTGCATTATCACAAAAACCTACACTTTTTGCTATGATTCGTCTTTGCCCCGGTCAAATACATACTGTACATTTTATTTTAGACATATATGAGGCAGTTTTAAATTTGATTAGTCATCTAAAAACAATTATTGTGTCAAACACAGCCACATATAAGTGAATAAAAGAATCTAAGTGTGAGTACCTAGCATTTCCTAGCATCTCATTTATTAAAGTATTTGAAAGATGTCACTGTTGTACCACTGCCAATAAGTTGTAATCAAGCCTGCCTTTAAAAACATACATAAAACAAAAGAAACTCAAAGATTTCTTCATTTAGACGTTGCAATGAATAATAAATAACGAAGATAAGACACGTTTAAAACATATTGCATCTGAAAAACTGTCTCTTATAATTATGACATAGATTGGCAGTAACAAATGTGACCTGCAATGCTTGCTGCTGTGTATTTTTACAAGGCAACACGTGTGTTCTGTTTTTTTTTTTTCCCTCTTCTTCTGTGCTTCATCATCTGGATGCATTAGACAGAGTAGTGTGAATTGTCATATACCGTAATTAGCCTTGTCTCCATTCAACAGGTTTACAACTATGGGAACCTTCTTTCCAGTGTAGACGAAGACCACCCCAGTAACTTGTATATCATTCGAGTCCAAGACAAAGGTAGGGTGACATGTAAAAAAAAAAGATAGTTTTCAATGATGTGTGTGTTAATACATGAAGCATTATTATAAAATTTTATGTAGCTGCATAATAATGTGTGTTTATCCATCCCATGGGCTCAATGACATTTTCACTAGCCCTGACAATAATGTTTAAACAGATTATAACCACTTGCTATATTTGAATTTGTTTGCTATAGCCAACAATGGTTAAATATAGTCTGGGGAATCCAGTAAAGTGTTAACAACACTTTTCTGGCAGTAGGTACCCTTTAGAACTACCTGCGCTTAATATCAGGAAAGCATTTGTGCCAATGTCAACAACATGGGTGACAAATTAAAGTACTTGTAAAGGCTCAAGGATTTTTATATTCATGCATTGTATGCATGAAGGTAAAAAACCTTCTGTGTGCAGCAGTTCCCCCAGCCCTCCCCAATACTTACCTGTAGCCAGGGGCGGACTGACAACTCATGGGGCCCCCCGGGCAATAGGGGATCATGGGGCCCCTGTGTCCTCACCCAGACTCAAATCACATCCAAAAAAGCCTATGAAAGGTACTAGGGGCATCTCATGGGGCCCCCTACTGAACCTGGGCCCTCGGGCAGTGCCCGAGTACATGAATGGTTAGTCCGCCCCTGCCTGTTTCCCTTGCTCCAACAATGTGGACAAGAGCCTCGACTCTCCAGGGACTCACCCCAAGGCTGTATTTACGGCAAAGCAAACAAGGCAGTTACTTAGGGTGACATTTTTTAGGGGGGTGGTGCCGACCCCAGCAGAAGTGACACACAGGCAGCTGGTTAATGAGGATGGAGAGCAGGTGAGGCACAGCAGTATGGGCTGCGGGCTGCTGAAGGGTGTCCGACTCTTATTCCTGGATCATTGTCAGAGATCAGCGCAGAAGGAAGACAATGGGCTTTCCTGATCATGGCTCCTGGGGTGGCTGGTGGGTGAGTGCTTGAATCTCTCTCCCCTACCCAAGCACAATTTTACTCTTGTCTAGGGCAGCACACAACCAAAATACACCACTGCCTCTCCCTCCTCATTTGCTGAGACAGCAGTGGTAGCCATTGGCTCGCACTGCTGTCAATCACAGTCAGTGAGCCAATGAGGAGAAAAAGGGGGCGGGGCCAAACCACGGCTCTGTGCGTGAATGGACACGCAGAGTGGCAGCTCAAGAGCAGGCCTGCTTGGTTACCTCCACAGGGTGGCTTGCTCTGGGGCCGCTTGGCAGGAGGGAGGGATCATAAATTAAATTTATGTCCTTTTTTCCCACAAATTGAGCTTTCTTTTGGTGGTATTTGATCGCCTGTGTGTTTTTTATTTTTTGTGCTATAAAAAAAAAAAACCAACAATTTTGAGATAAAAACAATATTTTTGACTTTTTCCTATTAAACATGTCCAGTACAAATATTTTAAAAATCAAATTGCATCACAAATATAGGCCAAAATGTATTCTGCTACATATCTTTACTAAAAAAATCTCAATATATGTAAATTAATTGGATTTTGTGAACGTTGCAGCGTTTACAAAATCTAATGGCGGCGATCAGCGACTTATAGCAGGACGGCGGCGGACATTCTGGCACTGGGAGGAACTGACTTGGTGTCACTTAAGACCAGCTCTGAGCAGGAATAGAGAGGTATGCCAGTGCTCTGAATGGGGTATGTGTGCTGGGAAGCTCTGCCCACACAGTTACTGAAGTTATTTCCCAACTATGGGCAATGCCATCTTTGGGTAATGACACCCCCATATCCCCTGCCCCTTTATTTACATTTAGCTATTGACTGCAGAAATCTCTTGGCTGACAGTTGAATGGGGTCGGGGATAGAGCACTGTGTGGGAAGATGTTGCATACATGACAGCTTCCCAGCACACATACCCCATTCAGAGCACTGGCATACTGAGAGAGTGAGTTTCCCATCAAGCATGCATTATTTTGATTGATAGCACATTGCAGTTGGCAGATCCAAAGTCACTATTGGACTGAATAGCAGCAATGGATCTGCCCATTGCCATGTACTGTCAAGCAACAGGAAGGCAGACCTGATGGGGAACTAGTCTCTTAGTTTCCCATCAGGCTCTTCCCACCCCTACTACAAAACTCCTCAGCCAGCTGCTTGTCAGTGTTCACAGTGGCTGGAGAGGGAGGGAGTGCACTGAAGAAGGATGGACACTCCAACCTCAGTGCAGGCACCAACAGACTCATTCACCTATCTCTGATATGTACATAAATTGGGTATAAGCACTGACAATTATGGTACTGCACCGCAATGGAATTCTAAAGGGTGTAACTCTTTATAAATTCCCTAGTTGAGTCTGTAAATCCTGCAGCAGTTGGTCAGGCATATAAGAATTTATTTCTGGTGAGCAAAGCCTAGCTCACATTAGAAGGAGTTAAGGTTCACAATGTGTGATGAAATTATTTAGCTATACGTAGATATATAAAGTGAGGCAATCATAGGTAATCTAATTATTGTGGTTTAATATACTGATTCTCTTCCAGTGCCCTATGACATATATCTTCCAAATCATTCTTGTGTGACCAATATGTTTGCTGTAAATGCAACTGTACAGGACGTGCTATCAATCCTGGCCACAAAGACTGGCTTTAGCAGAGACCAAGTCCTGGTGAAAGTCAACTCAATGGGAGGTGAGCTACATCATATCTCTCATCCAGTCCATGGACTTAAAACTTTTTTAGGAAATAATTTAAACAATGTTTATTTTAAACTAATATGTATAATTCACACAAAGTACCATAGTTTAAAATGCAAAAAAAATAAGTTAAATATCATATTATAAAATACACATTTAATCACTAAAACCATTAGAGGGATATGAGTCCTGTCATCTTTTCCATTTATTAGGCTGAGGTCCTATCTTTTTTTAGTGTAGTGATCAGAGCTTTTTGCACCTTGTGCACTAGATATATATAAGGGCAAGGGGTGCTGGGGTGTTCTGGAGGGTCTATGAATGCTTTCTGCTAGGGGATCTATTGTTGCTGGAGGGGATCTATTTTGAGTGGGGGGTCTGTTGTTGCTAGGGAGTCTATCTTTATGGGGGTCATTTGTTGCTGGGAGAGATCTACTGTTGATGGCGGGGGTATTTTATTGCTGGCTGCTGGAGGGTTTCGAGATTTGATGTTGCTATCAGGGGTCTATTGTTGCTGGATGCAGGGGATCTATTTTACTGTTTTATTTTTAACAAATTCCAATGACGTAGTACAACAATAAGATACATAGTTTTGTATTCTCTAAAAGGGGGAAGTACTGGGAGGTGGGTAGGAGGTGGAACCAAGGGATGATGCTCGGAGGTGGGTAGGGGGCAGCGACAGGGGTGACTCTGAGGGAGGGAGTTCCTGCACCTATTCTCTGAGAAAAAAAGCCCTGGTAGTGATAGTCAGACATCAGCAGTTTTCCCACATGCCAAATTGAATTAATTCTCCCACAAGCCACATGTTTATAGGTTTATCTGATGAAGATCCAGTTTCCCAGATATAAATTCAGTCAGCACAGTGGCTAAGTGGTTAGCACCTCTGCCTAGCCGCACTAGGGTTACCAGTTCAAATCCTAACCATGACACTACCTGCCTGAAGTTTTCATGTTCTCCCTGTGCCTGCGTGGGTTTCCTCCCACACTCCAAAGACATGCTAGTAGGTTAATTGCATTCTGCCTAAATTGGCCCTAGTATGTATGAATGTGCGTTAGGGATCTTAGATTGTAAGCTTCTTGAGGGCAGGGACTGATGTGATGTACAATATATACTGTATGTGAAGCAATGTGATGGCGCTATACAAATACCTCTAAAAATATTGCACTTTAATGGATAAACATTAGTAGTTTTCAAAGATTCAAAACTCTAAGAATCTGTATAGTAAACTTATAGATGTTATTTTCTATATGGCAGAAAAAATATGTCTAAAACATGAGGACACTGGAGTATTCACATCTCTGGGTTTGAACGAGAGACTCTTTGTCTGTAGTGTTCAAGAGATGAACACGCTGGTAAGTAGAAAATCAGATTTTATACTTACAATTATGAGGGAAGACATTTGTACCCAATAAAAAAAGATCCACTATCTGCTTTTGCGGTAGATTCAGCCATAATTTCTTCAGCATTGAGTTTTTTTTTTTTGGCCTTTGCAGTTTTCTCGCTAAGTCTTAATTTATTTATTGTGGCACAACATTTACCTGTGGAATGGTAAGCATTCCAAAAACAGGAAGACAAAAAAAAGAAAAATAATTTTACACTTTAGATGCGACTGGCATGATAAAAGCCCAAACTTCATTTAAACATGAATAGATCCACAAAAAGAAGATAAGATACATGAACAGCTCAGGTACATTGTAGATATCAGCTGTGAGTCTAAACAAGTTTTGACTATGATTAAAAATCACCTATGGGCAAAATAAAAAGAAAAAAATAGCCTTAATGTTGTTTTTTTTGTGCTTCAGTAGATATTTAGTGATAAAGATTTGCAAAATAGATACATGTAATCACAGAAAGAATCATTTGTATATAAAGCAACATCCAAAAAAAAATCATAGGGCAAAGACAACACAGCATAATTATGGTTTGAGAACCACATTAGATGTACCTCTCTACACCTCTTCTTACAGTTTGGCTCAATTATTGGGTGTAAAAAAAACAAAATGGGATAATACAAGAAAATACAAGAAAACATGAAGAAGGGAAGGGGGAGAGGGGAGAGTGAAAAAGGTCAGGTGGCGTTAAGGGAAAGGAAAGAGCAAGACCAGCTAGAAAACCATCACACTCCAAGCCATCTCCCCGAAACAAAATGGATGTAAAATGGTCTATAGGGAATCATCAAAGTCAGCAGGGAAAAAAAGAGTAATCCAGGGGGATCAAGCCTTTCTAAATTTCTTGTATGGATTACAGGCACCAGTTTTCCATCTGATAAATAATTGAATTGATTAACAGTGCATCCTGTTGGTTTGAAGCGGAGTAAGGCTTCATATGGTGTCTTAGGGATGCTATGGTCCAATACATTAATTGACTCTAATCCAGAAACACTTAATCCTGGGACACTACCGTCATATATGAGCTATTGTAACTACTTCTCCACAGCCCCTAAAACAATGAACCAAGTTACCCTGTTTGAATGTAGCCAGTTGTTAAGATACCATGTATCAGAGAAGTAAAATACTATCATTTGCTTCAATGAACATAGTATTAAATGATACTTGGGCTATCGTGTCCCAAACCGTGGACCTTTGGTGGTCAGCGGGGATTCCATTCTACTAGTAACAGAATAATTCTGCTGGAGTGGCATAGTAGTTAGACAAAGAGGGGAACACTGAGATACCAGTGTGTAGGTGGGTCTTGTAGCTAAGGTATCCAATCTGGAAGAGACCAAACACAATCCAGAAGGTTGTACAATTTTTTGTATATTGAAGAATAATTAACAGAAGTAATTGCAATTTACTAATTGCAATTACTTCTGTTAATTATTCTTCAATATACAAGAAATACTGTGCAGACAAGAGCATTAAAATAACCCATTGTGAGTGCCCATACAGTTGGAAGAGAACAGTCATTAAGGGCACAATGTTGCAGAGACAGTACACTCAGTAAGGCACAGTATTGCAGCGATAGATTACTTAGCAAAGGCACAGTTTAACAGTGGTATTTCACTCTGTAATAGCACAGTATTGCAGTAAGGCAGTATTTCAGTATTGCAGTAAGGCAGTAAGGCACCGTATTACAGCAACATATTATTTGGCAATGGCACAGTATTGCAGCAACAGATTACTTGGCAATGGAACAGTTTAGCAGCGTTATTTCATTCCATAAAAGCACAGTATTGCAGTAATGCAGTATTCCAGTATTGCAGTAAGGCACCGTATTACAGCAACATATTATTTGGCAATGGCACAGTATTGCAGCAACAGATTACTTGGCAATGACACAGTATTGCAGCAACAGATTACTTCGCAATGGCATAGTATTGCAGCAACATATTACTTGGCAATGGCACAGTATTGCAGCAACAGATAACTTGACAATGACACAGTATTGCAGCAACAGATTACTTGGCAATGACACAGTATTGCAGCAACAGATAAATTGGCAATGACACAGTATTGCAGCAACAGATTACTTGGCAATGGCACAGTATTGCAGCAACAGATTACTTGGCAATGGCACAGTATTGCAGCAACAGATAACTTGGTAATGGCACAGTATTGCAGCAGCAGATAACTTGGCAATGGCACAGTATTGCAGCAACAGATTCCTTACAATGACACAGTATTGCAGCAACTGAAAAATTGGCAATGGCACAGTATTGCAGCAACAGATTACTTGGCAATGGCACAGTATTGCAGCAACAGATTACTTGGCAATGGCACAGTATTGCAGCAACAGATTACTTGGCAATGGCACAGTTTAGCAGCAGTATTTCATTCCATAAAAGCACAGTATTGCAGTAAGGCAGTATTCCAGGCATAACCTAATTTACCCTGCTGGAGGAGGGGCAGATGGTGACGTAAGGTAGCGGCTGAAGAGGTCCCCTAAATGTAGTGCCAGATACCAGAATGCTTGAGGAGAATCCTGATGTGTCCTTTCACTGTCCCTACTGAACCAGGAACTTTTCCCTGTACTGATACTCTCACAAATACAAAGGGATCTCCGTCCCTCACCTCACCACTTTTTCCAGCTGCGCCTAAATGGCGTGGACATCCTAATACATAGATTTCCACTGTCAAAATGGCTGTCAGGGTTTGGAGCAACTAATCAGATAGCTGAACCTGTATACAAAGGTAATTTTCTTTAAAGCAGCTATGACTGCTATACTCCCCTCCAACACTGTTCTCTACAGTTGTTCCTTGTCATCATTAACCATCACCCATACGTCCAAATCAGCAGTTCATTTTGTTCTTAAATTATTCTTTATACTTAAATTTCCCATGATTTGTGTTTTTTGTTTTATCAGACTCCTATTCCTGAGCAAATGGGCCCAAACAGCAGTAGCTATGATATGTTGGATCTCATCAGCTCAAAAGACCTGGCTCATCAGATGACAGAAAATGACTGGAATCTGTTTAAGAGCATTCACCAGGTACTGTAAAACTGATTTATACTGTACTGTATTTGTGGAGGTATTGGAACAAGGGGTCAGCATAAAATCTGGGTACAAAGGGTTCCCTACTGGGAAGTAGAAGAGAGGCTTCTTACCCAGGGGCAATGAGAACTCCGGCCACATTTGTAAATTGTCTTAGACTTTTGTTCTTTTATCTCACCTGGTGTATAATGACTTATCGTTAAATTGTCCCAAAGAGAGATCGCTTTTCCAAAGACTATCTCAGGGGTATTATACATATTTAATTAGGATATGGTCCTCTGAAATGCCAATGTCTGCCCAGCAGAGATCGAAACTAACCATGATGGGCAGAAAACCTGGTCACCAGTTTGACTGTAGGTGCCTGTGATACAGAGTAACCTGAATAGCTTTATACTATCTGGATTAATCAGAAAACTTCAGCCTGCAATACGGGTAATGTCAGAATATCATTTGCCTAACAGTGCTTTAGTTTATCCCAATCCCTGTCAGTGTCACTTTTTATAGGACAGCTTATTCTGCATGTAAACACAGAGAAAAATAGACAGGCATGTGAAATAATGAGCTAATGAATATACTAAATTCTGTCATTATGTATATGTAAAGAGCATACTTTTATCAGGATATAATATTTTCCATAATAGTGGTCCTTTAAAAGAAGATCTGTTTTTTTAAAAACTGTACTCAATATGTCTACAGAACTTGCTTTATAGTTTTGCACTTACTTTTAAGGTGGAGCTGCTGTTTAATACATTTGGGAAGCAGAAGTTCCGTAACTCAACGACTGCTAATCTAGAGCGGTTCATAAGGCGGTTTAATGAAGTCCAATTCTGGGTTGCAACTGAAGTGTGTCTGTGCCAAGATGAAGAAAAGAGAGCACTGCTCCTGCGAAAGTTCGTCAAGCTGGCAGCATAGTAAGGAACCTTGTTCCATCAATGGGATTAATAGTCTCCTATTTGTATGCTGTGTCCTATTTCTCGTTCCTAATTGTAAAACTATTCCAAGCACAGACTTTTAAACTATATAAACTGCATCAGCGAAGTCACAAAAATTCAGGTCATGTTATCTCTCAAGTACTGTTCTGAGGTATCCTAATAAATGAAATTATCTGCAGTTGCTTTGCACAGAAAGCTCTAACAAGATCTGAAAATCTTCTAAAGAAGGGGTAGGAAACCTTTGACAGGTGGAGATCAATCTGAACAACATGAAATATATCAAAGATCACTGGGGTGTAACACCTTAACTAGCAGGGCCTAACTAACTAGTAAAGAAAACTTTAAAAAATATAATAAAACAAATGTCACAGTAAAATTATAAACTTATCCTACCTTAACATTGGACATTGTCAGTCAGTAGTGCAGTGAAAGGTGTGTGAACAGTGTCAGTAGGGCAGTGGATGGTATTAAAAGTTTTTTATTATATTTTACAATTTAATTTTTTTTTTATACTTTTTTTACAATTTTCTTTAGGAGCCCTGTTGGGTGGCTTTGATGAAAGGGAGCACACAGGGGGCCAAGCAGCAGAAAAAAACAACAAGGACAAGAGGGACTGCTGGGGGAGGCATTTACTAGAACTGATCACCTGGATTTTCCTCCTGCAGCAGCTGTATAGCGTGGGAGGGAGAGGAAGAGAAGCTAACTTTCAGCTGCTGCAGGAGGAAAATACAGGGGATCGCCAAAAGACAGGTATTTTAAAAATCTGAATTCCCAGCAAATGTCTGGGCATTTGGATTTTACCCCCCCCCAACCTAGCATGCTAAGGCGGTTGCTTAAGCAGCCTTATTATGGCCCCAGTGCCCTCTGGCCCTTACGCATCCCTCCTCCTCTACCCCCACAGTAGTGTCTTCTGCCCCATTCACATCACCCCCCTACAGTAGTGTAATCCCCCCATAACAGTGTTCTCTACTGCCCATAACACCACCACCCACTTACAGCAGTGTCCTCTGCCTCCCTTACCTCCATAGCAGTGACCTCTGCCCCCCCTTTCCCCCATAGCAGTGTCCCCAGCCCTCTCTCCTCCCCAGCAGTGTACTCTGCTCCCCCCCCCCCAAGCAGTGTCCTCTGCCCCCCCCCCCTTCCCCCCCATAGCAAAGGCCTCTAGGGGCACCTAGCGGAGGTCGGTAAAGCAGGGATATGTTCACAGTCTACCTGTCACCTTCCCTCGGTTGACGGGTTGCTGGCCCCATGGACATAGCTGTAATCCTTTGGGGGCCCAAAAGAAGACAGAATTTAGGGACTTTGGCATCTTCAGGTTAGAAACAGAATCTACCACAGGCACGAACAGAGCATTATTTTTATCGCAAGCCATTCCAGGCTACTCTTACATAAGTTCACATATCAAAACAAATGCAGTCCATCCCAAGTGCATAGTTCAAACACTAACACTATATTTCTATATGTCCAATTATCATTATTTACATAAGTGTAAAGTTAATTTAAATTAGAAAGGTTTGGGTCTAGTACTGATCTAACAAAGGAAGCCACTTTGACAATCGTATTTTATGCAGTGACTGTTTGATGGTAATCCATTAAATTTATAGCGCTATTCTCCTGAAAGCAGCTGGTTTTGGGTCCCCCTATTTTCCTGCACAGCCAGGCAACACACATTTTCCACTCTTGCTTTCGAAGTCAGTAAACAGTCCATGAGCTTGGTTTTTGTTGTTTTATTAAGGATTAAACAACTTGTATGGGGTCTTGAGGTATACAGAATGACCAATGGAACTGAAACAACTTAAAGGACAAACTTCCTATGTATAAAAAGCAGATAAATATTCAATCCTGGACCTTCTACTCCAGCTGTTATGGCTATTGTCTCTTAATAGATCAGCAGACAGTCTTTTCTAGGAGCACTTAATCCCCTTATATCAACCTCTTCAGACCACAGATGAAAATCTCTCATCATCACCTGGCTGTCATGAGAGTATCCCAGGGCAAGGGAGTTCAAGACATATAAGAATGCTGTCCCAGGGAGAACTAGTTGGGTATGGCACCTGACTGTCCTCTCCCTTGTAGGCCCAAGGGTTGTAGAGGTACTCACACTGTCCTGCTCCTGTAGCTTTAAAAGGTGAACCTGCTTTCAGGCCTTACGCCTAGCTGGCTTCTTCCCCTGCTGACAAGCTGTCCTTCTCTGTAGACTGTAAAACAGTGGAGGTCCCTATTTCCAGCTCCCAGCCTGTAGGTAGACTCCCCTCATCTGTATCCCCCTCCCAGGTTCCATACCAGCAGAACTTCCTCCCTCCGTTTTTGACTTGACTCCCTTTCTGACCAGGCTCTCTCATATTTATGGGTTTATCTCCCAAACTGCCAGGCCTCCTGCTCAGACTCCCGTAAATATGAAGATCGTCCCCTCCTCACCTCCACCCACTGGCTTCTAGAAACCTCTCTAAGTCTCTAGAGCAGGGGGAAGTACAGAGAACTGACCTGTAGAGCCCTCCAGCTCTAACCTAAAGTAAGCTTGCTGACTCACTTCCAGGCTGACTCACACCCAGGTTTCTAGCAAGCCTCTAAGTATACACAAAAAAATAATTGCACTGGAGGGCCTTACACATCTGATTGCCAACTAGTGTCCATAACCAAATTTTGCATGGATATATTTTTCCAACATGAATGAAAGCCCAAAGCCTTCTTTTAACTGAACTTCCTCATTAATTTTGCTGTTATTGTTTTGCAGCCTCAAGGAGCAGAAAAATCTAAACTCTTTCTTTGCTGTCATGTTTGGTCTCAGTAACACAGCGGTCAGTCGCTTGTCCAAGACCTGGCAGGTACGTCAGTCATAAATATAGTATACTGACTGAAATTCACTTCACAGTTGCTAAACCACTGGCAGAGATGTAAAGCATTCACAAAGTTAGATGCCTACACATACACTATATGTTCAAAAGTTTGTGGAAACCTGGTAATCTCACATACTACAATATATGGCAAAAATTATGTGACACCCCCTCCTATTTATTGAGTGCAGGTGTTTCCAATCAAGGTTCTTGTTAATGTTACAGCATACAAATAAATATTAAACAACTGTGTGCTTCCAACCTTGTGATGACAGTTTTGGACGTGACTTTGTGCAAAAGACAGGTCCAAAATTATATGGCTTGGTGAGCTTGGTGTGGAGGAACCTGAGTTGCCTTCACAGAGCCTTGACCTCAATCCTTATGAAAAACTTTGGGATATACTCAAATGCCTATTGCGTGCCAGACCTTCTCATTCAACAACAGTACTAGACCATACACGTGCTCTTTTTACTAAATGGGTCAAATTTCCACAGACACGCTTTCCAGTGGAACCTTTTATAGTCACAAAGTGTTGTTCAGTTGTGTATCAATGCTCATGGTTTTGCAATGGTATATTTAACAAACTTGTATATTGTAGGTGTGATGGTCAGATGGCCAAAGACATTTGATCATATAGCGTATGTTCACATAGCTGCAAGCGCACCCTGGGAGGCCCAAAGATCAGGATGGTCTAATATTGGTCAGTGACATTGTTCAGCATGGTGATGGACCAATAGTGAGATATGGGTTTGGTGGGACAAAGCACGAGTTCCTGCAGTCGCTATATGTATGTTAAAGCACCCTAGGCTTTGGGCTCTCCGGGTGCACCGTAAGCTGTATGAAAATATAAGCTGGCATATTTAGCACTCACTTTTCAGTTGCTAGTACTTTAGCAACTAAAAATGAACACAGGTTAATTTTAAACTATATTATGCATTATGTGTTATTCTCTACATACGTGCATTAAACCTTTCCTTTACCTTGGAGGAATTACATGACTGTAAGAAGTTCATGTATTTTTAAGCCTGTCTTTTTGTTATTTTCAATTAAATAAAATAGTAATGATGCTTGCACTTATACCAGCTATCTAACCAACGTTGATGATATACCACTAGGTATCTAGCCTTTAACCACTTGCCTACCAGGCACTTATACCCCCTTATTTACCAGGCCAATTTTCAGCTTTCAGCGCTGCCGCACTTTGATTGACAATTGCGCGGTCATGCAACATTGTACCCATATGAAATTTTGATCATTTTTTTCTCACAAATAGAGCTTTCTTTTGGTGGTATTTAATCACCACTGGGCGCTTTACTTTTTGCGCTATAAATTAAAAAACTGCAAAAAATTTGAAAAAAAAAAAAAAAGTTTCTTTGTTTCTATTATAAAATTTTTCAAACAGGTATTTTTTCTCCTTCACTGATGTGCGTTGATGAGGCAGCACTGATGGGCACTGATAGGCGGCACTGATGGGCACTGATAGGCAGCACTAAAGGGCACTGATAGGCAGTACTAATGAGGTGGCACGGATAGGCGGCACTGATAGACAGTACTAATGAGGTGTCACGGATAGGCGGCACTAATATGCAGCACTGATAGGCGGCACTGATAGGTGACACTAATGATGGGTACTGATAGACGGCACTGACTGGCATCACTGCTGGGCACTGACTGGCGGCACTGACTGGCACAACCGCTGGGCACTGACTGGTGGCACTGACTGGCAGCACTGCTGCTGGGCTGCACTGGTGGGTGGCACTGGTGGGCAGCACTGGTGGGTGGGCACAGGTGGGTGGCACTGGTGGGCACAGGTGGGTGGGCACAGGTGGGTGGCACTGCTGGGCACAGGTAGGTGGCACTTCTGGGCACAGGTGTGTGAAATTGCAGAGTGGCACAGGTGGGTGCACTGCTGGGCACAGGTGGGTGCACTGCTGGGCACAGGTGGGCGGAGCTAGTGGGCACACTGCAGGGCACAGGTGGGCGGAACTTGCGGGTGGCACTGCTGGGCACCGATCATCAGGGCACTGATCATCAGTGCCCTGATGATCGGTGCCGATCCCCGCTCTGACAACTGCCGGTTCTCGGCAGTACTTTCCTCACGATCTGACAGCGTGAGGAAAGTGCAGCTGAGAACCGGCACTTGCATTTCCCTCTGATCAGGTGGTAAAAGGCCGCTGTGATTGGCCTTTTACCACATCACGTGATCAGCTGTGTCCGTCACATCACGGAGATCGCTGGGTGTGCGCCCCCTGGGGCGCGCAGGAGAGCGTGTTCTGGGGGGACGTCATATGACGTCCACTCAGAACTGGCCGGCCGCAGTGCAGCTGTCATTCGGCTATCTGCGGTCGGCAACAAGTTAACAAAGCTGTAGTGTACCTTGTTTTGTGTATGCTGTATCACTAAGCCTGATGAGAGCTGGGATCCCAGAGTTTAGTCCGACTAATATCCCTAGCAGTCTACACAAAAAAAGACAAAAGGTTTCAATGGACATACCTTTAAAACAAGAGCTGTTTGCAACAAATAAAATCAGTGAACTCATAGTATCCAGCAGTATCAGAAACATTAAGCCCCTATCATTCAGATAAGTGATGGAATGGAATTTGCATCACACAGTCTTTCAATTTATATTTACTGGGGTTGATTTACTAAAACTGAAGCATGTAAAATCTGGTGCAGCTGTGCATGGTAGCCAATCAGCTTCTAATTTCAGTTTGTTCAATTAAGCTTTGACAAAAAAAAACTGGAATCTTATTGGTTTCTGTGCTCAGCTGCACCAGATTTTTCACTATCCAGTTTTATTAAATGAACCCCTCTGTGTAGCTTAATTATTATTATACAGTATTTATAAAGCGCCAACAGTTCCCTCAGCGCTGTACATTACAAAGGGAGACAGAACATGCGACAGTACAATAACAATACAATGTGATACACGAGGGGTTTGAGGGCCCTGTGCACTTCGAGCTTACAATCTAGGAGGGAGGGGATAGTGGTACAGGAGGAGATAGCTGTTGGGGATGGGGTGGTTGAAGGAGTGGAGGAGGTCGGCAATTAGCAGGGGGTGGGGTAGGCTTCCCTGAAGAGGTGGGTTTTCAGGGTGCGCCTAAAGGAGAGGAGAGTAGGTGATAGTCTGATGGATTGGGGTAGGGAGTTCCAGCGGATGAGTGACGCCCTGGAGAAATCCTGGAGGCGTGCATGGGAGGAGGAGACCAGGGAACTAGAGAGGAAGTCTTGTGAGGAGCGGAGTGTGCGTGTTGGGTGGTACTTGGATATTAGGTCGGTGATGTAATTTGGGGCAGTATGATGGACAGCTTTGTACATCAGTGTTAGGATTTTGAATTTGATCCCTTGTGCAATCGGAAGCCAGTGGAGGGATTGGCAGAGAGGGGTGGCAGAAACGGAGCGGTTGGTAAGGTGAATGAGTCTGGCTAGTTTTTTGAGGAGGAGGGGGTGGTCGACTGTGTCAAAGGCCACGGAGAGGTCGAGGAGTAGGAGCACTGAATAGTGGCCATTAGCTTTGGTGGTTAGAAGGTCGTTGGAGAGTTTGAGTAAGGCAGTTTCGGTGGAGTGTAGGGGACAGAAGCCGGACTGTAGGGGATCGAGGAGGTTGTTGTCGTTGAGGTGAGAGCTTAGGTGATTGTAAACTAAGCGCTCGAGGAGTTTGGATGTGAATGGGAGCAGGGAGATGGGTCTGAGGTTGTTTGGGTCATTGGGGTCCAGGGATGGCTTTTTAAGTATGGGAGTGATGTGCGCGTGCTTCAGAGGGGAGGGGAATGCGCCGGAAGAGAGGGAGAGATTAAAGATGTGGGTGAGGGAGCGTAGGATGGAGGGGGAGGGAGGTCGTAGGAGTTGTGAGGGGATAGAGTCAAGGGGGCAGGTGGTGAGGCGGGCATCAGAGAAGACCTTGGTGACCTCCTCGATGGTAGTAAGGTCGAAGGTGTGGAGTGTTGAGGGGGTTTCAGTGTGAGGAATGTTAGGTGGGGTGGAGGTCAGAGCAGTGGTGAAATGAAAAGCACGATCTCTCCAGCACCTCAAAAGGGGTTAATGCCAAGAAGAGGCCAGGAAGTCCAATATGTTGATAGGCTTTGGATAAATTCTTGGTGATGCAGCCCTCCTCAGACTGAGAAATCATCAAAACTGGAAAAGAAACACACAGGTGGCACAAATCCTTAGCGCATTATGCAAGGTTTTTGAAAAAGTAAAATGACAAAAAAACATACAAAATGAAGTATATGAAAAAGCTTGAATGCCATAAGGATGGCCCACAATGATGGCAGACTATCCGATTGGTGGTACGGTCGGCCTACTGACACGTTTCGGGGACATATCCCATTCCTCAGAGCTGAAGCCTCCCTGCAGTGTTCAGGCTTTTTTATGTGCTTCATTTTGTGAGCATGTTTTTTGTCCTTTTACTTTTCACATAAACCTTGGATAATGCACTAGGTGTTTATGCTACCTGAGTGCTTCTTTTCCACATCTGTGTAGTTTAGCCCAAATATAATCCAAATTGCTCGGTGGATAATGATAGTTAAACAGTATGTGCCTATTTTGGTTTTCTGAGTGTATATGTTCTAATCATTAATCCTTTTTCAGAAAACATGATTGTAACAGAATATAGAAATTTCATTTATTTTAATAATATAGCTTATACAGACTGTTTAAATTAATGCATGGCATGTAAATAGGTTTGAAAAATAGCTAATAAATGCATATGCATTGTAAATTGTATAAAATGAAAGGTGAAGGTTTGTATAAAAGATATTTAATAAAAAAAAATGTAATGTGTGGACACTTTGGAATCTTTAATATTGGGGCTTTTCTTGTATTCCATGTGACATGGCCACAGTATCAAAATTTCAACCCCATAGCACATATTATCTAAGTAATATGAAAAATGCTGCATATGGTATTTCTTTTGTTGAATGACTAGAGAAAAATGATAGTCTGATCCCCCTTTCAAGTTCATCTAAATATTACATCTTGTTTCCTATGTTAGATCCCCGAAGAAAACAAATGTGCTCTGCATCTAATTAGCAAAGTATATATGTCACTTCACAGACATATGCATTTTATCTAAATGTTGACAAGTAACAAGACTTTCTTTCTTGTCTGTTGTAGCGCCTGCCACACAAAAACACGAAAGTTATACTCCATCTTTGAAAGGTTGATGGTAAGTCTCTGGTAAACGCATGCACAGACAAGGGTCTATTCTACTTTAATGTATATCTAAAGTTAAAAATTTTCTTTTAAATTTTTAATAGAGTAAAAGAGGGTTAAAATGGCTGTCATGTTTTGTTTTTTTTGCCATCTACAGTATGTCTCATTAGGGAGATTTCCCTTCACTTGGAGTGAAATCCCCTCTTATGCAGTGCTCATGGAAACAAGGGTCCTGGTTAGAATGTTTCCACTCTATTGCTGTTCTGACACTAACTTTTTTTTTGGATTTACTCTCACTTTAATTCCTGGTGACATTGATAATCAGGACAATTAGAAAAGAGAAACTGACAGTGGTTCTAATCCCCTATCACTCTATTCAGTTCTAAAACAAAAAAAGTTTTGCCTTTAGTTGTCATTTAGACAAATGGATAGATGTATCTGAATTAGACACCCAAGCAATAATGACCAGCTTTATAGAGAGTACACCCATGGTGATATTGAAGTTTTCACAAGAGACAGCATATCACATAGACTAGTAGATAGGGTAGTCTTCTATTAGTAATGCTGAAAGTGTAATTGTAATTTGATTATTATTGGCTTCATTAGCAACAAAGGAAAGTTGTAAGACATTCTATGTTGCTGCATAAAAGTGTGAAGATCATAGAAGAAAAAGAAGATATTCCTTATAGCATAGTAGAAGCTGAACGCATTCCTTATAACATAGAAGAAACTGAAGCTATTAGTGGTTTGAGATTGTGACTCAGAACTCCTATATTGGACAGCATGTGCAATGCTGCGCTTTCACCCAATTTTATCAAGATGCAAGTGTATTGCATGTCCTAGCTTTCCATAGAAGACAGTAGAATGCATTTATCTCTGCAGGATCCTTCCTGGAATCACAGATCTTATAGACTGGCTGTGGCAAAACTCAGTCCACCTCTCATTCCATTCCTTCCACTTATCTTAAAAGGTAGGTAACCAACAATGCATTATATATAGTTCAAGAATTGTAGCATATTTTTTTTGCAGATTCAGAAGCACTTACATTTTTTGTGTGCAGTATCCTGATATTTGGTGGCTATGCAGTGCAGTAGATAAACAATTCAGGTGACTACGCTTCAAAATAAGTGATAATTTCACTTCTTATTTTCTAGCAACAGGATCACTTTAAAAGGCCAATTTATGATAGCAATTTGTACTATATATAGAGTTCATTTCTATTACAAAAAAAAAAAAGTGTGTTGCTCTGTGTCAGTGCTAAAGTCAGTCCATGCGATTAGTCAGCCTGTGTCTGTATTGTAAGTTACTTTAAATTTTGGTGCAATAAAAGGATTTAGGTACGAACAGACTATTTTTTAAGAATTTACCTTGGAAGTTTAAAATTATGAAACTCTTGAGATATGAGATAAGATATGAGGGGAGATCAAATACTGTAGTTCACAGAATAACATAGAAGCAATCTAAAAAATATAATTATATTAATTAATTTTTTAAACTCTGGACTTTAAATAATTTTATACTTTAGGGTTAGAATCCAATTTAAAAGACCAATCTAAAACCAATTTAAAGCTTTTATCTTGCTTCACTATAATCAAAAAAGTTCCTATCAGAGATATATTCCACTGTTTAAACAAATGTAATTTATGTATGAACTGAGCCAACTGTGTTTGGAAATGTTTAGCTAATGTTCTGTTCCTTTAAACTTGCTAGAAAATTTGACTACTCCAGAAGAGTCAATTTTCTTGCACAGCCCACTCCCTTCTTGCATCTCACAGCCCTCCCCTCTTCTTGGAGTGTCTAATTACGCTCTATGCTGGCCAAGCTCTGCCTCCTTCCCCTTCACTGCCCTACATAACCTTTTTTTGTAGCTGCCAAGGGAGGAGTGACAGAGCTGTGTTTGCTAGGGTTGCTGACATCAAATCCAAGATGGCAGCACCCAACAGAAGTCTCAGGGCTTTTGGACGTCTACGCAACATAAATAGCATGCATAAAATAAGTCGATGCACATATAATCTTATAGGAAGATTCTGGCTGAAATGAAAAGCTCATTGAGTGCTAGAAACAGTTCTATAAACTTATTGGCCCCCCCTTGTACATTATTCCATATATACACATGCACAGACTTTCAGTACGGTAATTTATATAATCAACAATATTTATTAATTTACAGACCTGACCTTCATCCATGAGGGCAATAAAAATACAGTGGACAACCTTGTAAATTTTGAAAAAATGGTAAGTCATACATGAACATTTATGGCATGTGTCCATGTACTATATTTGTTATTTTACTAAAGTAGTTACAGTGCTGGCATGTTTAGTGAAAATTATAAGACCAAGTAATGTCTGTTTCAGACAAACATCTCGGCTTTCCTGTAGGACTGTTTCCAGAGGTTTAGCATTTTTTCTTTCTTTTGGAAATGAACAGTGCAATCTACAGTATGTTAAAGAGTTTAACTTTTGTTGTGGCTACCTATACTAAAAGTCTTATTATTTGCTTATATATATATAAAAAAATCATAAAGTATGTCTAATTCAATGTCTTAATTCAATTAATATCCATTTAATATTTTAACTTTTGTAGCGCATGATTGCAAAGACCATACGGATGTTTCACAGTTATCGCAACCAGAGCTACAGTAAGTACAATTGGTTAGGGATACAGTGCTGACTATATACATGGCCAAAACTTTGTTTACATCATATCCTATATATTATTCTAAAACTTATTGTAACTTCCTATTTCACTGCTGGAGGATGCAGCCTTCTAGTCTTGAGTTTAGCTTAACAGAGCATGTTCCACCAGGGGGATCAAACAATCCCCCCAGTGTCTGGCCACACCATGCAGTCCACTCTTATTATCCATGCCAGACAGTTTGGTATACTGCACATTTATAAAGAAAGAGAGGACTGCCATCTATAACAATCCTTTACACACATATGATAATGTCAAAGTAAATAATTACGGTTTGTTCTTCACTTGGAAATCTTACCTCTTCTCTACTGTGAAGGCGCTATGCAACAGCAACAAAAAGTTCAAGCTGAAGTTTGTTTCTCAATACGAAAGAGATAAAAAGTAATTGCTTTATTATTTTTTTAATTATATATACAGTTCCCCTGTCGCCACTTCGATCTCGGCCTCTTCATCTCCTTGAGGATGCTGCAGCAGTCCGGATGTCTGCATGTATGTTTATAGAATTTTTCTTAAATTAATATAATCATAACTTATTAGAAGGATAAAATGTTTTTGTACATTTTGTATAGCAGCAAACAATGATACACACAATCATTATAAAAGCTGTTGATGTTTGTGCTTCAAAAATTATTTTGCAGTAAAAATATAATTTACCTGTAATGATCTATTGGAGTTTCATTTAAAGTATGAATAAAGGCAAAACTTTTTTTTTTTTAAGAAACCCCTGTCAGGTTTTTATTGCTGTCTGTGCCCCTATTAAGGAGCTTCACCCTATTTGTCCTGCTTATCATTATCATCGAAAGCAAAAATAAAGACAATCCCAAATTTAACATTGTCCCCAGAAAAGTAATAGATGGTACATTTTTCAAGTGGGGACACTAGTTCTGGTGACCTGGGGTCCCCAAGAATTCCCTTAATTTGTGGGGATTATCTCCCACTTCCTGTTTTGGCTATGGGACAGGAAGTGAAGGTAAATCTCCCCAATCAGACACAAATGGCTAAAAACGTACTGACGAGGGTTATAACCCTCCCATACTCTATCCAAAGTGATAAAAAAGTTCTACTTTAATGAGGTGGAGAGCCTTGAGCTTTAGCTGGAGTTGAAAGGGATTGTGACTCTTTGGGTAACTGGGTAAAAAAAAACGGCAGTACTCGTCATCTCTGAGTCGCTTTCTGAACTCAACAAAATGGTCTCACTCCCTTCTCTCCTGCCTCCCAGTGAATACAGTAATGTAAGGGGGACTCTGTGGACTCTGATGTAAGGGGGCTTTGGTGAGCAGAGACCCCCTTACATCAGAGTTACATTAGAATCCCCAACATTCCCCTTTACATGAGAGCCCCACCCTAAAATTAAGGTTTCCCAGAGCACCCCTTACATCAGAGTTCCCATTTGCACTAGAGTCAATAGATCTCCCCGCTTATGGTGTAAGTGGAAATTCTGTGGACTCTGATGTAACGGGCGCTTGTGGACTCTGATGTAAGAGGGGCTGTGAGTACTCCGATGTAAGGGGGGCTGTGTGGACTCTGGCTCTGTGGACTCTGATGTAACGGAGAACTTTGTGGACTCTGATGTAAGGGGGCTGTTTGAAATCTGATGTAAGGGGGGCTGTGCAGACTCTGGCTCTGCGGACTCTGATGTAATAGGGGCTCTGTGGTCTATGATGTAAGGGAGAACTCTGTGAACTTTTATGTAAGTGGGGCTCTGTGACCTCTGATGTAAGAGAGAACTGCGAAGTCTGATGTAATGGGGGTTATGGGAACCCTGATTAAAGGGGAATGCTGGGAACTCTGATGTAAGTGGGGGCTCTGGTTACCAGAGACCCCCTTATATCAGAGTTCCTGTTTTCACCAGTCTGCAGCATTCCCCTTTACATCAGAGTTCTCAGTGTCCCCTTAAATTAGAGTCCCCAGAAAGATTCATATGCAGATTCAGATGTAAAGGGGAACTTTGCAGATTCAGATGTGAAGGGGAACTCTGTGGACTCTGATGTAAAGGAGACTGTTGTGATAAAATCTATGTGATTAGAAATGTGATATTTAATCACAAAATATATGTATATTGTATACTACAAAACAAAATTGCTGTGCGTCCCAAAGGTGTTCAGAATCAAGACTGCATTTAAACATACTGGAAGGGATTTACTAAAACTGATACACTCAGAATCTGGTGCAGCTATGCATGGTACCCAGTCAGTTTCTAATTTCAGCTTGTTCAATTAAGCTTTGGCAATAAATCTTGGAAGCTGATTGGCTTCTACGCAGAGCTAGACCAAATTTTGCACCCCCCAATCTAGAAATCACTTTTAATCCTGGTTTAAAGCTGAGCTCCAGGCATATATTGAAATTATTGGTTCTTTGTCCTCAAAATGACAGAAAATATTATTTCACTGCAATAAGCAAATTTCCTTTCAGCAGAGATACATTCAGAAGGCACAGTACAGAAGGCACAGTACATAATCTAGCTGAACATTTCCAACATATTTGGCTCACTACATACATAAATTATATTTTTAACCACTTGCCTGCCAGGCACTTTCACCCCCTTCCTGCCCAGGCCAATTCTGGCACTTTGAATGACAGTTGCGTGGTCATGCAGACCCTGGTACCCAAACCAAATTTTTATACATTTTTTAAGACAGATACAGCTTTCTTTTGGTGATATTTAATTACCACTGGGCTTTTTATTTTTTTGCTAAACAAACTAAAAAAGACAACATGATGTGTGCTGATGAGGCTGCACTAATAGGCAGCACTGATGGGCACTGCTAGGCAGCAATGATAGACAGCACTGATATATGGCACTGATAGGCGGCACTGATAGGCATCATTGACGGGCACTAAAAGGCAAAACTGATGGGCTCTGATAGGCAGCACTGACGGGCACTGATAGGTGGCACAAATGGCACTGATAGGTGGCACTGATAGGTGGAACTGATTGAATCTACTGATGAGGAGGCACTAATAGGCAGCACTGATGGGCATTGACAGGCATCACTGACGGGGACTGATAAACAGCACTGACTGGCAGCATGGATAGACAGCACTGATAGATGGCACTGATGGGTACTGACAAAAACTGAAAATAAAAGTTGTACTGTAAATGTCTCATGGTCTGTAATTCATGGGACACATCTACAGGGCCATGGCTAAATGCTGCAAACAATTGTGGACTTTTTTATGATCTATGTGTGGGGTATTGGAGGAAGGGTAACATCTTGATACTTGTATAATGGTCATTCATCACGGTCATGGGACAGTTAATGTTTTTGGGGTTGTATTTAATATGTGTGATCACACAAATACTTTATAAGTATAAAATTTAACTAAGTAATGACAGATGCAGCTACAGAATACTTAACTAAAGATGCCGTTTCCACCACTGGTCATGTCTGCTTTTGCGGCATGGCAAAGATAATCAGACCAGATGTATGTACGATGCAGCTCTGGGACGAGACAGTTATTGCAAGTTCTAGCTTTGTTATATAGGACTTGTGTGTAAGGAATGACCAATCCCCACTGCAATCACCAATATGACCTTTCAAGGACTTGGCCAGTTCGCAGTGACATTCCTTTGGTAGGAGTCAGCTAAGGTAACCAGGCTTTGTCTTTGTATGGCCTTTTAACCAAGGCTTGGATTTCATTATTAGATACTGTGAGCCAACTAGATAACTTTAAATAAGGAAATATGCAATATCCCTAGAAAATGGCCTATAAATGTTGCATCTGCTTTCTTAAAACTTAAGTATAGAATAAAGTATAAAATAAAGCAAATCATGGTGCATTAGCTATTTTAAGAATTTTGACCTTTGTTTTAACCCTTTCAAAAGTTTGGTGTATTAAAAACAAATTTCATTTTGTTCTTTCATACAGGTTCAGAATATTCAGTGAACTTTAGAAGTCCAGCAGCTACATGGGCTTATATCCAACACATGAAGGTCATTGACAATCAGAAGAGACTAATGGAGCTGTCCCGAAGCCTTGAACCATCCTGAAATATTTTAAATGTTCTGTGGAGTCTGTAGAGGTGCACTTGGATACAGGCTTCCTCCAATCAGTTCCTTGTAATCCCTGTATCAGGGGCTCAGGTCATTGGTGGCCTATAGCCAGTCCAACATTTGGACTCTGCTTTTGGAACAAGCACACTGATTAATATCCATATTTAAGCAGATGCTCTCTGCCATCTTCTAATAACGGATGTTACAACCTTATTGGCATTGTACTTTACCTTCACATTACTGTAGGACCTATAGTGCCAAGTCAAATATTGGACAGCTTCCTTGCTCATGTAAAGTGTTTTGTCGTGGCCATAAGGAATATATAGACTTTATTCTTCCATCTAATACTGTGCCAAAGGATCTCCGGGATCAGTATAGAAAATAATGAAATGGATAATGAGAAAATGAACACATCTTAATAGACTGCAGGATACCCATGAACACTGGATATTGGTAGCAGTGATCGGTCAGTACAGCTATTGGTCCTAAACAAAAATAAAGTTTATAAAAAAAAAAAAGCTTGTTCAACCATTCCAATTTGTTCTACTGGAAAGGCTTGTTATATCAACAGACATGAAAAAGTACCAACTAATAAAAAAGCGCTACAGTAAACATTATATTGCAGCCAAACAATTTATAGATGTAAAGCCACATCTATTCATCTGGTCAATATGTGTTTTTCAAAAGAACAAACTTTCTTGCAGATGTTTCAGTTACAGGGATGAGACAAACCATTCAACACAGGCAGGGGTGCTTATAATGAACAATTTTATATATTTAATATAAATCCTTTATTCCAAAAAGGGAAAAAAACGGTTGCTGTAACTGCTTAAAAACATTTAGCTAGAGTTCAGCTATCTGATCAACCCTACCACAATATACCCATGTGGGTAGCATTGACCTTGCAATGTTTTTTTTTTTTTTACATGGAGGAACCCTTGAAATAACTTTCCAGTCTCCAGGAACCCCTGCTAATAAATTACTGTATCTATAACTTATGTTTCATTAGCATGGTGGTTAGTGGGAAGGATGCTCCTTACCCTTGTGGTCACTGGAAAGGATCCCCTTCCATCCTTATAGATAGCTAAAAAGATAATTGGTTTCAGTGGTTACTTATCTGAGAGGCAGAAACTGTTCATTGCTCAAAGGAACCCCTAGCAAACCACAGAGCAGGGGCCAGTTTACTGTCCTCGAGTACTGGTTCACACTGATGCAGTGCGAATCTAATGCAGTATCACAGTGCGATTTGTCCTGTAACAGGTGTGAATTGAATGCTTTCTGAGGGGACTGAGCATAGCAGGAGATGAAATTCGCACCACACAACCTTTTTTTTGGACTGGATCAAATTCACACCGCATATATGTGAACAGCCTGCATTAGAAATAATTCTTTTGTAGATTAAATGCTAAGCTGTGCTTTTCAGACCACATCTGATCCACATAGAATTCCCCTTAGTGCGAACCAGCACTCAGATTTTAGGGGGGCCAGATGTTGCTGTCAGTAGGAGTAATAGTGCCCCATCATTGGTGTCAGTGGGAGGAATAGTGCCCCTTCATTGGTGTCAGTGGGAGGAACAGTATCTTGTATCAGTGAGAGGAACAGTGCCCCAAGGGCCAGAAAAAGGCTAGCAAAGGGCCACAGTTTGGAGACCACTGCCCTAGAGGAACATTAGGGAACCCTGGTTGAGCAAGGCTGCTAAGGTCATTCAAGAATTTATAAAGCTTTAAGAAGCTGTTAATGAGCCATCAACCTCAAAGTTTACAGCAGAAGCACTGAAGTGGTTCAAGTCACTCTCAGCAGCTCAGCTCCCCTTTTCTAGCAGCGACTCGACACCCTTCAAAAAAAATATTCAATGTCAACACAGGTCATGTGTTCTGAGAAGGAGCAAAGCTGTCTGAGAGAATGATATGAGCCTACAAATGCCTTCTGTCCATTTTCTGTTGACGCAAGGTCATTTTAGAACATTCACCAAACTACAAATACCTTAGGAATTAAAATTTATTAAAGATATAACAGAAACAAAAGACAAACAAAAAGCATACCAATGTAAGTATTTGTATATAAATAACCATGTTTTAAAGCAACAAGGTTAGCAACACATTAAATACTTGATTGTAAAACAGATCACAAAGTCCATGCAAAGCTTCAAATAGAAAAGGCATCAGTTACATCATTAAGATTTTTTTTTTACAAGTGCTTGCATCCTATGACAGTGAGGCATCAAGACAATGGCCTCTTGTGTACTCATATGTCACAAATAACTTAGAGAATCATCATAAATTAGTAAAATATGTTAAGACTAAAATATGGGAATGGCATTTCCAATCTTTTCTGTAAATCCTGGATGATTGGCTGTTGTCCTAACCTTCTTGCTACACTGCATTGAGTCACTGAGCCAGAGCAAGCATGCAGACCAGGCAAGGGTGAGAAAGTCATATCTTTATGGTCAGTGATTGAACTCATTCATGCAAAAAGGGTAAAAAAATCCCAGCCAGGCAGCTAGCAATTTCAAAAGGAGAGTTCAAGAACAGCAGTCTGTGTTTCTGACATGGAAAGGGTCTTGGCTGTTTTAATCAAAAACATAAAATGATTGATTTGGCAGAATAAAACTATAGCAGCTGATGTGCATTGTTTAGCTTGTAATTTACAAAATGCATGAAAGTGTATATAAAACCATTTTTTGTAGCGTATGAAGGGCTAGCAATTCTGTCAGGTATTTAATCCTCTCCATTTTCCCTGGTGACCATTGTCACTGGAACAGAGAATGAAGGAAAAAAAATCTAATCTTTTTTCAGTTGTCACTGGAACAACAATAGAGTCTTCCATGGGTCAAGTGTTGTGGTGAAAACTTTGCAGATATTTCCTCACTTCCTGTTGTGTCTACAGGACAGGAAGTGAGGAATAATCTCCCCAATACAACAAAGAAAAATAAAAAACTTGGACATGGGTTTAAAATGCTTTCCAACACTACAGTAAAAAATAAAAAAAAAATTAAAAAAAAAAAAAAAAAAAAAAACTTAAAGATTTGACTTTAGATATTATATGAAACCGCAAAAGCTCAGGTTTTAAATTTACAGATTACAGTTTTAGAAAAGTCTGAATAGAGCGCATTGCTAATTGACTCCAATCAATGGACGTTCTTCTCTTTTCTCCCACAAACTTCTACTGTAATGTCCAGGATTCAGCTTTCTAGCGGCTTCCTGATGAGAGATGTGCAATTCCAGGCACTCATCATGCTTTTCATTATCTCCATTATTTTCTTCTGATCTTCTACTTGGGACAAGGCATTCATTGTCTTGGGTAGAGATTGGCATCTGTCTAACTTTGAAGCCACCAAATCCATTTTTCACTGCTGGCTCTAGAACATCAACCCCAGAGTCTAAGCTTGCCACATTATTGAGCTCATTTTCAAGTTGGGCTCCTTCGGAGACGGGTCTGTTTCCCATAAATATAAACCAGGCTTTTGGCTGCAAGGAATCTGGTTTTCCAAGTTGTGTATTCTGTTTGGTAGAATCTTCTTCAGTTTTTCTTTCTAAAGTGTTGGGAAGTGAGAAGGATTCTTTTTGCCTCACGTGTTTGCTTAGAACAGAGAAGCCAGTAGTGTCCCAAGTAAACTGCTGATCACTGGAATTTTCACACAGTAGAGTACTGCTTCGACTCAGGACTACTGGTGAACGTGCAGGCTGGAACTGGTCAGCATTCATGGAGGACACATGCACTGGAGACTCCAGAGGAATCATGGAGATATCTTCATCCACTCCGCTTTTCAGGGAAGAGCTGCGTCTTTTGGCCTTAAGACTGAACAATGAACTCTTCTCTAATACTCCGCCAAGGATAGAAGCCCCTGACAACAACATATGCTGAAGTGCTAAGTAATGTTCAGAGGCCTTACTTTTTTTTTGTAAAGACTTGTCAACTATTGAAACGCGGATTCCTTCCTCTTCATCACTGATGCTCATTATATGACTGTCCTGGGAAAGGCGAGAAGTCGCACATTTGCTTTTTTGGCTACGTCGATCCACAGTAATTGGCAATGACAATTCTTTAGGATCATTCTGTAGGTGAAGTTTCGAGTTGATTGTATTCAAAGTAAAACTGGTCATAGATGTTGCCTGATCTCTCACCAGTCTTCCAAATCTCATGGATGGTGTTCGATTTGTCATTTTGAAACCATTCCTCCTAGAAATGATATAAATGGATTGTACATTAAATGTGAAAGATATTAAATACCACCTAATAAATGCAAGAATGTATTTGCTTCATAGATATATGTAAATGATAATGTCCGTTGTGCAAGCACTACCCTCTATTACAAACTAAGATGATTTCTAAAGTAAAAAAAAATTTTTTTTTAGCTAGAATGTACTAATTTAGGCATGTTGCTGGTGGTCATCGGGCTATACTTCATTACTTTTACCATTCAGGGCAAAGTGACCATAAATGTTCCCCATGCCTAATCCAATCATACTGTCTTGTCTAGTTGTCTCCTTCTGCTGTTCCTTTCACTGTTGCAAAATACCTGGTTTTGGCCGGTGTCCTTGATGGACCGCAGATCACGTGAGATTAATCAAACCTGGTGGGACTTCATAAGTTTTCATGGTAGGTGGTCAGATGGTGCTCTGTACCAGAAGCATTGGGTATTTTGTGTGAGCTACATCTGAGAAGGAGCAGTAAGAATTATTGGAGAGGCAGGCATCAGTGGGCTCTCTCTTGCTGCTCTAGATACAGACCCACAAGTTCAAAACTGATAATACCAGTAAACTGAATAATTGCTTTAAAAATTAAATAACACCTAACAGCAAGAATAAGTAATACCAAAGTAGTACTGTTGATCCACTGTACCACAGTCTGGCAATGGTATATATGGTGATGGGCAAATAATGTATTTACTGCCAAGTATCTACAGAGGCTCCTGGAATGTGAACATTTTGGTTTTCAGTTAGAGAACATTAACTGCACATTTGCTGACATCAAGCTTACAGAGATTAGCAATTAGA